CTGTGCAGCGTGTCACAATAGCACAAAATTGTTAACACTCCAGTTGGGAAATGTTTAATGTTCATTTTGTCCAGGATAAATGGTTATACAGAGTTTGAGGTCATGTGTGTGTTTGGGGTGGGGGCCTGTGTGTGTTTTTCAATTAGTGTCAGATAGTATTAAAACAAAAGTAGGGCTTTTTAGCTGTCCTTTGTGCAGCAGTGTCTTTACTGGTCTCTCTGATATTGATCTGATTTCTCTCTGGGTTGGTGGCATTGTTCTGGTTGCAGCAGTGGGATCAAACGGTGCTTTTTTATAAGCAGTTAAATAAGATCAGTGTCTCTCTTCTTTTTGCTTCTGAATGTTTGTGATTCTGGACTTCATAAGTGGTTTTTTTTTTGTTTTCTTTTAAAACTGAAAGTGTGGGTATGGGTTTTATTTATTTATTGGTGTTTGAGAAATCGGATCCGAATGTGAAACTTGATGTTGCTCTTAAACTCACTTTCTGTAGAGTTTCATGACTGGCTTTAGTGCCTTATCGTTGAACGGTTGTATTGTGTGTACTCAGTGTTACCTTGAGCAGTTCCAACCTTTAAAACAAAGTTATTTTTATAATTTGTTGATTGTGGGGATCTGTTGGGCTTCCTAAAAATTCCCTCCTCCCCAACCCAAAATTGAGCACCTGTCTGATCTTCGTGGTAATGAGGCGTTCATGAATGTAGCTGCATGATGCTCATCTCTGTCAGCAGCGGGACAGTTGCCCCATGCACCTCAACAGTGAGATGTGGAATAAGTTGTTTTTTCAGTTGTACAAAAGAAGAATTCAGTATTGCATGTGCATGGGCTATGACCTCCGTTTCACAGATAGATGCGCTTTTAAAAAAAAAAATCTGTAAGGTATGTGAGAGAGGGAAACAGGGAAGAGAGGAAATAAAATGCTAGAGTCGGAGCTTAAAGAGGTAGACCTTGCCATAAAGAAGAGATAGAAGCAAATTGTACCTCTGTGCAGCAGTATAAATTGTTTTGCTGATGTACTGATGAACCCATCTGAGTGAATAGCAAGTGAATATTTTGGTTCATTGGCTCTTTGATTGTTGTTTGTGTGTTGTTTGGGGGTGTGCGTGTGTGTGTTTTTTGGTGTGTTGGTGGGTTTTTTCTGTTGACCTGACCTTGAGGAATCTGAAAGACAGGAAGACAAGCATGAGGAGCTTCATTTGTCTTTCAGCACCTTGCAGTAACTCTTTGAGGTTGCTCTTCAGTAGAACTTCATACTTTGCAATACTAGCATACAGTAAGGTATGTGTAAATGAATTGTTTCAAAACTAAGATTTTTTTGTGAAGCCTGCAGTATACACGCTAACAAGAGATAAAGCTCAGATAGGTTCAGGACGCCCCTCTTGCACACAGGCATTTTAGTGCAGGCTTTAGTCAGGGAGCAGCAACTCTCCATTCAGAGCTGTAGGAGCAGGGCTGAGTTTTAGCTGAAATTTGAACGTTTCTTCTGCAAAGATCTCTCTGTAGTTGACTCTTCTTTCTTGGTAGCGTAAGATACACCTATCCTACGCTCCATAGCTAACTGGGTTTTAGCTCAAATTGGAAAGCGACTGTTGCCAGAGCTACTCGCCGTCCTCTAGTCTCAATCCTATAGTTCAGTGTTAGGAGCTGGCAAGTGTTGCACAGGAGAGAGCCTTGCACCATCTCAGCCCAAAATCGAGTCATGTAACAAAACCCAGCACAGAACAGAATGCAAAGATGGCACGTGGCTCAAACATTGCTCCCTTGTCCCCTGTAAAACTGGTGCTCTTTCCAAAGAGTATAATTTTGATTATGGGTTTCATGCACATCGGTAACAACTCAATTTTTCTTGTAATGGTTTGATTTAAAAACAGATGTAGACTGTAGCCATGGAAGATAATTGCATTGCCCTGTAATTTTGGACAATTTTGTTAAAGTTGAATTTCCTGTTCCACATAGCATATTACGATTATGTAAATGGCTTGTAATATGAATGTATGGGGTCTTTCCTAAGTAAGCGCAAGAGAGAATGAAGCATGGTTAGAAATGGAGGTACTTTTAAAGTGCTCCCTTATAAATACAGATGGAGTTGTTCCAGGCTGCATGTTCTGATGACCATGTGCCTATTGTGAAAGTTTCTTGTATTTTGTGCAGTATCAGAGTCCCCTTATTCACAGTTCTCTACTCAGCCTTCTGACCCTGGACAGCGAACTTGTCAATCTAATGTTAGATTTTGCTAAAACTTAACAAGTTTACTGGCTGAGAGTTGCTGTGTAGAAATAACTGAGGCCCACCTAGAATACTGGTAGCCTTTGGTGGGGAGATGCCTGAGCCCTTTGCCTGAATCTGAGTCTTGTCTATCTCTTATATTGTAGTATTTTAACAAAAATCACTGATAGGGATTATTTCTGCAGTTGGTCCAAGTGAACTGATATCTGCACATCCTGTTTGATTTGCTTAATTGCTCACCTTCACCACTGAATAGAAGAGTGTGACAGAAATCCCTAAATACAACAAATGATTAAGAGGCTGTCATTGAGGGTATATTGTTCTTCTAATCTCAACAAAAATGCTATTTTTATTAAAACATGGCAAATGTATAAACTGACAGAGAAGAAAACTGTCATGTAAGAGTTCATTTAGAACATGGAATTTATTGCTGTAGGATATTATTGAGGCCAAAAAAGCATCAAAATATGAACAATAAAGGGATATTTTACATGGATAACTAAATGCTAACAGATCTTCCAAATTTACCTGAAACCTTCTGCTTTGAGGCTTAAGGCAATCCCCAACTCTGGGAGATTATGGGTTGTTTTTTGCACATTTCTTGGAAGCATCTGGCTTTAGCCTCTGTAAGGGATGGGATATTGGATTTTAAAAATGCTGAGTTTCATCCAATATGTCAGTTTGTGTTCAAATACTCACTGTCAATAGTGGCTTCTGCAAAATGGTGGAATCTTTTCTCTTCAGTTTTTAGGTCCTTAAAGAAGCTCAAGGTTTAGCATCTACATCTAAAGAATTAAAAGTAAACTTGTCATTATTCTCAAGAATTTGTTCCTTAAATGAATTACTAAATTACTTGTTTTAATCATGCTTGGAATCTCTTCTGTATGGCTGATCAGATGTGTCTTTGAGTATCCTGAATTTACAATTTGCACAACGCTGGCATCCTACTACCAAGAAGATGGTGCCGCTCCCCTGAGCAAATGAGTTGCTGGGAGTCTCTCTGTCTTTGTCATAGATGTAAAATAACTGCAGGTCTACAAAAGGTAGATACTGATTCTTTATGGCAAAATGGTAGTATATTTGAGGAGAGGCTTGTATGTAGTTTTTGGGTTTGTTTTGTTGTTGTTGGGTTTCTTTTGCTATCCCTTTGATGTTTATGGAGATCTTGAGTATTAAGGTTTTAAGCTGCTTTGTTGAAACTCATCTGACAAGGACTTGGACAGATGGTGCTTTACTTTCTGTCTGAAATGTGACGCGTTTTACGCGTTTTAATTTCCCTTGAGTCATCTCAGTGAATCTGGCTAGAATTTCTTCAGCGAATATTTGTCTCTCCTGATTCTCCGATTTCCTTATCTGAAACTAAATTCAGTCTGATAGCAGCAGTATGTGGGTACCTTTAGCTATAGACCAAGCTAGCACATACTGTCATTTGTTTCAGCTCTGGTATATTCAATAATTACTATGCTGTTAATGTATCTGGTCTAATATGCAGAAGTAATAAAATACTGAAACCTACTTGTATTCAAAGCAGATTTTTTTTTCCTGCATCGACAGCATAATTTTGGAGAACTAATGAAAGATGATTCTTGAAACTGTAATGCATGACTAGACAAGGAGTTTTATGAGATGCTGATCTGTCCTTGACCTGACTGAAAGCATGGTATTAATGTTGGCTCTGAAAACTTCAGATGCTGTGGAACCTCAAAGTTCCCAATACACCTTGGACTGGACTGTGGTATGTGCACGTACGGTTTAAAGATAGCATTCATTAATCATTGACTTCAGTCCATCTGCCAGACAGACTCTTATAAGTAGATGTCTACTTACAACGTTAAAATCTTTGCTTTATAACTTCTATTAGTAAAAGCCTCTACAGAGTTCTTAAATGCTGCAGTCCAAGAGTTGAGGTGTCTGTCCAAGCTGCTTGCTTATGTGCTGAAGAGTGTTGCTGATAAAAACATCACCTAGCAAAGTTTAAAACAAGATGAGAACCCCCAGAAACAAAGAGGAGGAAGTAAAAATAATTTAAAAAAAAATTACAATATGAAGTCTAAACAGATGTGTGCTTTGCTGAAGTTAGTTCTGTGTGACCTACCTCTAAATCCTTGTTGTTGATGCCTTGCTGGAGGTGATGCCTCTGAGTAGCCAGCAGAGCTGTCTGGGTGAGCGTGCTCTGACCTACTTCAGCATGACCTAGGCTAGCTTAACCTGGCTCACTTTGGGCTGAGATGGGTTAGCAGATTTGAGGGGGCAGTAATCTCTGGCAGTGAGCAGATGAAGGTGTGGTAATACATTTCTTTGGTGTAGCTGCGTCAGGACGAGGAGGCGTGCTCACAGTCTAAGCGGTGGAACAGGCTGCTAATACTAAGTCTTTTTCAGTGATTCGGTCGGAAGTCTGACCACCTGCAGAGAATACACACATGCAGAAATGTCGAGTCATCTGCGTCTCCTTGTTAAAAACCCCAATCTGTCTTTAACAGAAGTGTCAAGTCAAGAGGTTGTTGTCCCCTCCCAGAGGGGTTTGTATGAAGTTCTGCCTACATATCTTATGCCCCACAAACCTTTGTTTGGATGCTGTTACTGTCAAGAGTCCTGCATTGACCATTTTATAGCATCTAAAGATCTGATCCCAGAAGAGGAGATGCGAGTAAGAAAAGGCTATGTTGTTTTGCATCAAAGAAATATGGGGGTAAATAGTTTCAGCTTTTTAAAAAAGAAAGTTATTTATTCCAAATTCTGGGTTTACTAATAAAAGATTTGCTTTCTGACTGTTGTAGGCTTTTGGGCAGGCCCATACCAACCACAAGAAGGTAGCAGCAGATGGAGAGAGCAGAGAGGAAACCTTGATTCAGGAATCGGCCACCAAGGAAGAGTACTACATGAAAAAGGTTATGGAGCTGCAGACAGAACTGAAGCAGTTGAGAAATGTCCTTGCCAACACCCAGTCTGAAAATGAACGCCTTAATTCTGTTGCACAGGAACTAAAAGAGGTAAGGGAAGGTGAAAATGCACGCTACAGCTTGTATTGCGATTATACTTTCTTGTGCTATGTAACAATAATAAGGAAGATGCTAGAGTTGATCAATATCTGCTTATCACCGGCAGCTGGTAAGATGGGTTTTGTTCCCTGAGACTTCAGTAAAGTGTTTTATCCAGATGAAACTAATTCAACAGTAAAGTAAATCCAGCTATCTGCTTCCATACACTGAACCAAGGTACTGGGCCACAATGATTTAAGGTTTTGATCCAGTGCAAGTTTACTCTGCCAGTTCAAATAGCTACTCATTCTGGAATAAGTGCTGCCTTGTGTTCCAGGGTCACTTGGCAGGAATGTGACTCTGCATCCAGACCACACTGGTACTGTACATCAGTACTCTCGATCAGAGAACTACTGCCTTAAGTAGCAGAGGAATCTGTTTAGCCCAAGCACTAAGAATAGCTTTGCATGTATTTTGGGTGTATTTTTTCTGCCTTGCTCTCTCTGCAGATATTCTTGCTGCAAATATTTGGTGTGGAGTTCCCCTATCCTTTTTTATAGTTTACCCATCACTTCTTCCACCCTAACTTATAAGGATGTGAGTGCATAACAAAACACTGAACAAAAGGAGTGCATTGTCTTGTGTTTTCTCTCATGAAAGTGATTACTTTTTTTACTTTTTCATAGGTTGCTGAACTTAACATCTCAAAGTACCTTTGACCCTTTATTGCTCTAATATTAAAGCTGCATATTTCTGAGAAATAACCATGGTGATTATTTCAAAATCAAATTTAAAACAATACAGTTACACACAATCTGTAGCTTCACAGGAGTTTCCATGTTACAGATACAGAAAAGATATTTTAAAAACCTCAAACAATTGCTTAAATTGAGACTAGATAAAAGTTTACAAAGGCTGTAAAGCACAGATGGATCTGGTAAACAGTTACTCCACAGTTATTCTTCCTGAGATTTCATGTACCTTTCTTTAAAGCATTGAGCACTTGTCTGTTTTGGAGTTGAGGTAATCTACTAGCCTGATAGATGGTTCCCTGGCAGAAGGGGAAGTTACCCAAGAGCCCACATCTGAATCTTGGTGTATTTCACAGGACTACAACTGAAAATCAGAAGCATCCAATTTAAGTTCTCCAGGAGCTAGTAAAAAATATATGTATAATATTTGGGAAAATTCATGAGGCACTGAAAAATCTTAAGATAAGTCCTTCTGGAAAATGTAGGTTAGTTCTGTGGAGGTGGTTCAATACTATCTCACTGTAGGGTACAACAAAGGAGGAGATTTGAGGGGGCAAACTGTCACAGGTGATCAAATGAGTCAGTCTAGCTCTTTAATTTCTTGGGCCCTGACTGTGGAATAACTGAGCTGGAATCAATCCATGCTGATCTGCTTAGCCAAGGAACCAGTTCCTGCAAGCACACACAACTCCTGTCTTTATTTCCTAACTTTTAAGAACAGCTTAAAAGAAAAGCTCCCCACCTCAAACAGAGCATTATGTCCCTAACGGATTCCAAGTGCTGCTTAAAAATATGTTGATTGGCAGATTTCAATCCAACTCAATGAGTCACTGTAGTTGAAGATGATTTTCTTTTTAGATACTGTCATGTTTCAACTACTCAACCATATTTGCTTGGCGCTGCAAGTTGCTTTACACAACTGTAGGATGAGCTGTCAGTTTGCAAGGTTTTAGGGTTTTTCCTGTGCTTTGTCATTTCAAATCCCCCCTGCTTGCACACACACACCCTCACATGAGGTGGAAGCTGTTCTGCCTAATTGTTTCCAAGAAAAGAAAAACTGCTGTGGCTCTTCTCCAAAAATAAATAAATATATATATATATATCTTTTTTTAAGTTCTGTTGCAGCTGCTCTGGATTTGGTCTGGGGCCAAATCCCTGCCTTACTTTTACTGGAGATTTACTTGTCAGGACTGATTGCAAAAGTTTTTATCTGCTATTCTGTAGCTAGCTGATAGGATACAGAATTATATTGTGACTGTCACTTTTTTTAGAAGAAATCTGTTCAATCTTTTGTACTAGTGCAGGAGGATAGTTAGTGAACCAGGCAGCAGCTCCTCCTGGGTTGCAGAAAGCAGTAGTGGTCATGTGATGAATGATAAATGTTGACCTGGATCAGTTGGACGAGCGTTCAAGACTGAGCATTTAAGATGCTCTCATTCCTTTTCTTTCTTCTCAGAACATCTGCACAAGGTGGTAAGTGGCTTTCATAAGGAGAAGAGTGACATTTGGTACACCTGGAGTTGCTATAGCAGATGCAAGTGATTTCGACACTTTCTATTGAACTATCTAACTTTGGCCTGTTGAGACAGGTTGACAGGGTGGTAACTAATTATGAATTTAACTGCTATCATGAGCTAGCTCAGCAGCTCCTGTGTCCTGAAAGAGTCATTGGAAGGAGATCTCCTCAGTAATTGTTAATTGCTGCTCCTTTTTGATCTGCTTTCATCTCTCCTGGATTTTCCTGGCACCCAAACAGATATCATAGGTGACTGGTTTAGTTGTTCAATTGCATGGTAGCCATGCCCAAGCTTGAAAATAAATGAGCAGTACTTTCCTGGGAAAGCAGAGGGATGTTCTGATCTGTAAACTGGAAGAAAATCTGTGTGTGCTTTTTTGCATTAGAGAGGAAAAAAGCCTAACATGACATGATGTTATTAAATATGTACTAAATAATATACATTTTTTAAAAAGTTGAATTATCAGCACCAATGTGAGTAACTTTATCCCTCCAAGGATATCAAGTGGAAAATATTTTTGAGGTTGGTTCTGAAGAAACTTCATGTGTTTTGTTGTGTTGTGTTACCAGTCATTTGTTCTTGCTTAGGCTTTATCAAAAAAAAAGTATGTCAAACTGGAGGATAATCTACATGCTGCAGTTATCTACCCCTGTTGTCTATGGGGAAATCTCTGCCCCTTTTTTGTATGGTTATTGCAATTCTCGCATGCTTGCGCTCTTGCCCATGCTCTCTCTCCCTCCCTACAGGATTATCCTGGAGGGGTTCACTGCGTTTTATTTGCAGAGGAGCAATGTTTTATACATGACTGCCAACTTTCAAATATAACTTTGCTTCAACTCCTTTGCCCCAGGACAGAAAGAGAGAGGACAGTAGACTTCACGCTGTTCTCCTTTCTTAAAAGAAAAAAAAGGGAGGGGGGCCGGAACAGTGGAGGTCCAATCTTCCGCAGAGATATGAGTGTCCGTTAGTCCAGTGCTGATGAGCTTTTTGACTCTTCTCATGCTGTGGTATCTTTGAGTTTTTTGTGTATTTGTTTGTCATTTTTCCCCTCCGTGCCCTTTGTGGCCATGTGTTGGCTCCATCTATTTGCACTAACTGTGCGGCGTGGTGCAGCCTTCTCTCTTTTATGGCAGCAGAATTTCTCAAAGCTCTCCCCACTGAAAGTTCTTACCTAATCTCACCTTTTTTGGGGAGGAGGGGGAACAGATAGAGAGGTGCTTGCAGCCTCCTACCTTGCCAGTACCTTGCTAGAGGAGGCTGGTTAGGATTTTCAGGTGAGTATGTAGATTAGTGAGAGATGGTCATTTGTCCTGCTGGGCTTTTGTTTGTTTAGGTTTTTTTTTTTTAACCCTAGGCAATGGGAACACCCAGTCCATAAACCTCTATAGAAGTCCATCAATTTTCCATCCTTTTCTGTTGCCTCTCATCTGAGGAACTGGTCATTAATTTTTTTCTTCTGAAGTCACTAGTGATCCTAACAACACTTATAGTGTGTGTGTGTATATATATGTATATATATGTGCGTATGTATATATATGTGTTTTAAAAGATGTCTGTAACCATGCTTACAGCTTACAAAGTTTACCCATTCTCATAGGGTTAAGCCAACCAAGCAGCCCTAAGGCCTTTATTTGTCAAAGATGACCTAGAACTTGGTCTCTGGTTATTTTCTAAAGCTCTACCAGTCCAAAACCTTGTGGAGAGCTGAATGTTTCAATCTTCAGGCATGTAGATAATTGCAAGCACTCTAATTAGAACAGCTTCACATGGAAGCTGATCTTGAGTCATAGCAAATATAAGATTGTATTAGATCAGATTGCCTTGACCATTCCTGCCTTATGCTTGCAGTAACTTAATTACTTGCAGTCATCTCTCCATATCATTAGACATGGCAATATTACAGATTCCTGCATCAGCTTTCTGGGGCCTTGCTATTAAAATATCGGAACAGAGGCGGAAGAAACTCTGGCTGGAAAGCACAGGACATGGTCAGTTCACAGTGTTTGACTGAGTTAATTTCTAGTAAGTGGTTATTCTCGGGAGCCAGTGCTCTCACCATGGTAGACCATTATGCTGGTTGTTAGACTTGACCCCATCTGCTCAGAGCAATGCTGGCTGATGCTTTTTTCTGCAAATGCACAGTAGTCTAATTGTTTGGATCCTCCAGGTTTCCATAAGAACTAGCCTTCACATCATCAGTGAAGGAAGAGTATTCCCAAAGTCATGACTGCACTTCTCTTCCCTCGTAGGATTTATAGCTAAGATGCTGAATAGTCCTTTGTATATTGTTGCGTTCAGCTCTTCCCTCTTGAACGCACTGATAACCCATAAATAAAATGGTACAAAAGAACTCCCCTGCAGCCAAAGAAGGAATTCTGTGTTTCCTAAAGGCTGCATCAGGAACCACAGTTAAAGAAGCCATTGGTATTATATAGTAGAGAATAAACGGAAACAATTTTTATTGTGCTCCAAATTATAGTGTGCACTACTGTTAAGCAGCCCAAACTGTGTCCAAGAAGTTTGTTTCAATGTGTTATATATTTGTGGAAATCCCATATGATTCCTGTAGGCTGATCTATGTTTCTGTATCAGATCAACAGGGCCCTTTCTTCCCATTTTAAATAACTGGAGGAAGATGGGAAACCTTTTTAAAACAACCAAATCCTAGGAAATTCTCAGAGTTATTGCCTTAACGTTTCTGGATATGTTGCAAAGTGCTAAGAAATTAGAGGCAATATTAATC